CACAGGGTTTCCAAGGCCGTGAATCTTTATGGAAGCAGGCTGCCACATCTTTCTCTCTTAGAGTGGCTGGTGGGCTTGAACGTCACCTTCTGATGCACAATTAAGCACTTCACCTTGTGCTACTAAGGCTCCTTTAGGGATCCAACCAGGTAGGTCCAAAAGGAAAATGCGAAGAGGTAGAGTCTGTCCAAATCCTAGGGTGTTTGCCCAACTTCTAGCCTCAGACTCTCTTACATTGGCACCCTCCCTCAGCCCCTCAGATCCAGCACAGCTTGGATCTCATATAGAGGCAGGATTTTCTAAAACCAAAACAAACAAACAAACAAACAAGCGATACTTTCATGGGGTCTATCCCAACTCTTAGCGACCTTATAGGACAGGATAGAACTGCCTCAATGAGGACTTCTAAGCTGTAAATCTTTATAGAAGCAGAATGTCACCACTTTCTCCCTAGAAGTGGCTGGTGGCTTTGAACCACCAACCTTTTGGCAAGCAGCCCCATGCTTAACTCCAAGAAAACAGCTGTAACAATTCAGCCCTGTGTGGCCTTCAGCAGGGATTGGAGGCTCTACAAGGAGGAGAGGGAGGTGGGGAGGAGGATGATTCCAAACTCCACTCACCTGGCACGTGTCAGCTCCGTTACTGTGGCCCGCACAGACCATACCATCTGTGACCTTCCCGGGGTAGGCGTCCTCACACCGCTTCTGGGGAAAGATTTTTATTTCTGCGCAGATGAGGGTGTCAGGAAAACTCTCTGAGGGGGAAGAGGTGGTAAGTTTCCAGAAAGAGCGGCCCTTCTGCTCTGTCCCTGTCTGGATCTAACCTCCCTTCTATCTGTAGCTGCCCGGGGAGCTTTCTGACACGTGTCTCAGGGTCGATCTCTTCTCTGTGCCTTAAAGGGGGTGGAGGTGTGTGTGCCAAGAATAATACACGAGAAATCTTGTCCCCCATGGACTCTGGGAGAGAAACAGGGTACCTCATTTAGCAGTGACCCTGGGCTAGGGAAAAACACACTAAACATCGAACTCCATGGGGATGTTGATTGGAACCCATTGACTAGCATAAAAGCAACCCTGTCCATTTTAGATGGTTGTTTTTGTCTGTCTCTGCCACCGTTTTGGCTTGGGCCTGTGAAGTCATGCCCACAAAGGACCCTGGCACATGGACTGGGACAGAACCAGGGTACGTGGGCCGGGAAATAACAACAGGACTCTGTTGTAACAGCAATTGGAAGCCGTTAACTAGTATAAAAATAATCCCATCCGTTGATTTTATAAATTGTTGCCTGGTTTCGGCTAATGTGTTCTCCATCCTGGGAGGTCCTGCCTGCAAAGGACTCTGGGAGAAAACCTGGGCCCACCAAGCACTAGACTCTATGATGGTAACATCAGTTGGAACAATTGAGTATGAAACCCTTACCCCCGTTTTCTTCCGCTCCCTGCACATATCCTCGTAGGGGAATGTCTGTAAACCTACTCTGCGCTGCACATACCTCAACTTGGGGTGATATCGACATGTCCTTGACATGCATGGTGGCCAGGCAATTGCAATGCATAGTGACCACGCAGGTCAGAGTGGAACTCTCCCCTAGGGTTTCCGAGGCTGCGCATCTTTATGGGAGCAGGCAGCCTCAGCTTTCTCCTGAGGAGCACACAACAAGGCTTCACCTGTAGCCTCTGTGGAGCCAACAATGGCAGCAGGGCCCCCTCTGTATGTAAGCTCCTCAATGAGGAATTGTCAGCCCTACCTGACTCTCCTCCTCCCATCACCACTTTTTCCTTCCTCCCTCTCTTTTTCTCTCTCTCTCTCTTTCTTTCTCGAAATCTGACCTGTACTCTTTGTCACCACTCTTCTCACTTGGTCCAGCAGGGTGGGACAAAATGAAGCCACCCTTGCCTGGTGCTGTCCACCTGTCCCCACCAAGCCAGGAGCCCTTAGACCTTACTTTTTGTTTCTGGTCCTGAGCTATTTTCAAATGAAGGGACAAATGGCGGAGGAACTTAGACGCACTCGCTTTGACACTTTTGACTATGTGTGGGTCTTCTTCTTCTACTCTCCCTTACTCACTGAACACCAAGTCCTCAATCTCGGCTACCTCTTCCTGTTCCCATGTTACCTCCTCCCAGAAGTCTTCCTTGACCACTCTGATTAAAATACCTCCCCCATCATGCCCTACCTTCTTACCCGGCAATATTAGTCCACTATGGTCATTACCTGATATTTAACTTATTGTATGTGTATTTTATTTCGGACCTTTCCACACAACTTGTTGTTTTGAATACTGAAAGTAGGATGGACTGCCGAAAGGACAAACAGTATGTCTTGGAAGAAGTACAACCAGAATGGTCCTCAGAGACAAGGATGGCGAGACTTTATCTCACCAACTTTGGACAGGTTATCAAGAGCGACCGGTCCCTGGAGAAGGACATCATGCTTAGTACAGTAGAGGGGCAGCGAAAATGAGGACGCCCCTCTAAAAGATGGATGGACACAGTGGCTGCCACAATGGGCTTAAACATAACAAGCCTTGTGAGGATGGTGTGCGACTAGGCAGTGTTTCCTTCTGTGGTGCATGGGGTCCCCGTGTGTTGGAACTGGCTGCACAGCATCTAACAGCTCTGCTAGGACAGGGACATCTAGTGGTTTCTTCACAGCTGTGTTAAATAGCACCTAGGGCAGAGGAACCATCTGTGTTGACTCGAGATGCCCCAGGTGTGCAGAGTGGAACTGCCCCCTTGGGCTTTCAAGACTGCGATCTTTTGGACACAGATCGCCAGGCCTTTCCTCCAAGGCACCTCTGGGTGAGTTCTAATCAAAGCCTCAGACTCAAAAGTCACTGCCATTGAGTTGATGCTGACTCAACCGACCTATAGGACAGGGTGAAACTGCCCCCGGGAGTCTCTGAGACCGAGTCGAAAGCCCCACTACACCACCAGGGCTCATGACAAAGCCTGAGTGGGTCAAGTCAGCAGGAAGGAAGGCTATCCATGCATTCACCTGCACTTAACTGTCACTTGGGGCTACCACTCAATATATATATATCTCGAATTAATGATTGGACGTGGATTTGATTGTTCTCATCCACTCCCTTCAAAAGAATAACTTTAGGGAGAAAAGAGCTTTGATCTGGCACCTCTCCATGCCAAGAGTTAGAGGCTCCCAGTCTCATCGGACCCTCGTGGCACGCTCTTTTGAAGGTTTCTTCATCCACTCATTCAGTCACCACACGTCTTGAGCACCCACTGTAGGCAGACACACACCTTCCTGAGCCCTAGAGACACGGAAATGAGGACAAGAGGTGCAACCCAAGCCCCCTGGGGCTCAAGACCTTGGACCTTTTGTCCAAGGAGGCAAAACCGAGGCTGAGAGATGGGGAGTGGGGAGTGCCCGGGGAAATGGAAAGATCTAGGGACATAGTGAATCGAATGGATTCATGGCGCACACCAGCACCAGTCTCCAGAATCCTGAGACCAGAAGCCTAGCTGGTGCCCAGCTACCATGGCCAACTGCTTTAGATAGATAGAGTGGGAGAAAAGGGCAGAGCAGAACTCAAAATCATACAAGAGACCAGGGTGACTGGGCGGATAGAGATGGGTAGGACTCCTAAGACTGTGGTCCTTAGCCACCCTTCCGGTCTGGAACGGAAGTCTTCTCTGAGTTAGGACGCCCACCATTGAAGCTCAAAAGGGCAGCATTTATCCACTGTTTGTGCCTTTATCCCTGGGCACATTTCAGTGTGGTGGAGAGGAATGGAAATTATAAACACAGGATGGAAGGAAAGAAGGAGGGAGGGAGAAAGGAAGAAAGAAGGGTGATGAGCAAGGTCCATTGAGAAGATGGCAATGGGAAAGTTGAATCTGAATGCGTCTGAATTCTGGACTGTGAAACGGTGATCGGCTCCACAAACCTTCACCCAGTGCATAATAAAAAGCCTGAAAAATATCACAGCCTAGGGGCGTTTCCTGTTTTGTTTTCTCCGGGAGTTCATAATCCCCCAACTTTGCAAAGAAGATTCCTTAAAATCCTGTACAGCACAAAGACTCATAGCCTAGTGCTTTCCAGCACCAAGGAAGGGTGTCCATTTATTCGGTGACTCGTTCATTCATTCACTGACTCATTTATTCATTCATTTCTTTCTGTCTATCCTTCCATCTTCTTTCTTTCTTTCTTTCCTCCCCCCACACCTGTTAATATTGTGACTTCAAGGTTTACAACAACACAATCACTTTCCCTGTGTTGCCTCTTCCTTTGGAGTGGGGTGTGTTGCGTGTGTGTTAGGTGGTGGTGAACAAGCTTTGCTAATGGCGTGGGATCCACCGGGTCCACCAGCTCCTCCTCTCCCTCCCAGTCCTGCCCAAGCAAGCCCAGTACCTCGAGGGCTGGTGATTGTGCCCCAGCCTGAGATGGTGCAATTCTGGCCAGCCTGGGGACATTGGTCTGCCAGTTCGATGGGCTTCACTTTAGACCCCAGGTTCGGCCGTCTCCGTAGTCGGATGAGCATCAGGTCATGGCTGTGGTTCTCGCTGCTGCTGTTGTAGCAGGGGTGGGGGATGGACCGAGCCACGGCCACTTCCTGCTCCTGCGAGTCCTCACTCTGAAGGCTGTGTTCTCCCAGGCGAACTGTGTACTTCCTGAAAGGGGGGAGAGGGGGTGCTTGGGATCCCAGCAGGAGTCTGATACCCCTGCCTTCTCCTTTGCAAGGTCTCAGGGGGCTTAGACCCCCTTCTCCCTCAGACCCAGGAGCCCAGATCCCAACCCCCCTCCTCCCCCAGGCCCAGGTGTCCATGCCCCTAGCCTCCCCTCCCCTCAGGCCCCTGCCCACCTCCGCCTGGGCACCCACTCACGGTTTTTTACAGTGGGCGGCTGTGATGACCCAGTAGTCATCGATGAGGACTCCCCCACACAGCAGCTGGGTGCTCTGGAACAGGCCCACCTGCCAGGGCTGCGAGTGGGGCTCACATTCGTGGCCCTGCAGCACCTTGGGCTCCTGTGCCCGTGAGCACCCTGCAGCCAGAGGGAGAGAGATGGGCTGCCACTCTTGGGGTGCTGCCAGTGTCAGGAAAGCCACTGCTTTGTACAGTGAGAGGGCTCATAGCAGGGCCTTCCCCACCACAAAGGGAGAGGGTATTCATTCATTCACCCATCCATCCATCCACCCATCCATCTACCCCCTACCTATCTATCCATTGATCCATCTACCTACCCATCCACTCATCATCCATCCATCATCCATTCACCCATC